GAAAAAGAAGCTTAGTGAAGGAGTCGCCATGATTCTCCTGCTCTAGACAGACGCAGGTTAAGATCCTCCCTGGTAAGCCAGCTCTGGGCTACATAGAATATTAGAAATGGGTTAGAACAATATGTAAGAGCTAGCTAATAAGAAACTGGAACTAGCCGGGCCAGACAGTGTTTAAAAAGATACAGTTTCCGTGTAATTATTTCGGGCATTAGCTAGCCATGCGGGCGGCCGGGTGCCGGGTATGCAGCCCTGCTGCTCCTATCACAACAGTCCTGTGACCTATACAAAGTCACAACAGAAGGCACACCGACCCACATACATGCACTCAAAATGAATAAATAAATGTATTAATAAATGTAATAATTGGACAAATATATTTGGCATCTAGTAGAATTCTCTAGGATATACCAAATCCTGAAACCTTTAGTAAAAATCATCTGTACTTAATTGTGTATCAAATAATAATCATCTGCTTGAGAGTTCAGTGATTTAGCAAAAAATTAAATCCCTATAACACAATGACATTAGTAATAACTTATATACCAGGCATTAAATGAATTATTCACCCATTTGTTAGCTTAAATAGAACTGCATACACAGAAGAAATAACACACTGATAAAGCTGCAATGGGTGAGCAATGGACAAAGTACTAAATGAAGACCACTGTAGTGATATTTCATTTGTATGTTAATAAATAAAGCTTGCCATGAAGATCAGAAAGTAAAACAGTTGCACTGATCAGCGATACAGACCAGGCAGTGGTGACACACACCTTTAATCCCAGTAGCCACATTAGTTTGCCATAGAAACTGGGTATAGTGGTGAATGCCTTTAATCCCAGCACTAGAGAGGAATATAAAACAGGTTCCATTCTGAGGATTCCTGGAGGCAGGATCACCATTTTGGGACTGAGGTAAAAGTAAGAGCTAGTGGCTAACTGCTTTGCTTTTCTGGTCTTCAGGTTGAACCCCAATATTTGTCTCTGGGTTTTCATTAATTGTGCTACAGACCCATGTATTTGGTAAGATGATTAAAATGATGGTCCAGAGGAGGAAAAAACGTAGGACCAGAAAGCACATTGACAGCTAAAGGTTGTTTTTATAAAAAGATGTCAACAAAAAGCTCTAAAAACTTTCTTTTATAGTAACAAATAGCTGTGGATATACTAAAAGCATTAAGTCACACATTAAAAAGGACAAGAAGATAATTAAAAAGCTATTATATTTGTAAACAGAAACAGAATCACAGAACAGAGAATGTCGCTTGCTGGGTTTTGTTTGGTTGTACTTGATAAAGACTAAGAGGAAAGTTTTACCCATTTGGATCTTACTCAGACTAGCTAAGAATCTCCTATTTTCTCATTTATTCCTGGAACCACTCAGTTCTGCAAGAAAAACATGCTGAAGTAGTCAGTAGCTTTCTAATTTCCCATTCCAATGGGATACTTTGGGTACATCTATTTGGCTCTTTGTTGTTTTATCTTCTGTGAAACTGTTCTCTTGATGTAGAAGAAACTAAAAATAATATAATTAACATAATAAAGGATGTACCAATAGATTTACTTAGGAGACATTAACTCAAACAAAGTAAAATTTAGCTAGCCATCCCTCCAAACATCCCAAAGGTAAGTAGTCTGTTAGATAAGCAAAATTTACAACGGCAGAATGTAGATGCTCCAGTCCTCAAAGAGCATGCATACTTCTAACAATAGCTTTCAACCTGTGGGTTGCGACCCCTTTGGGGTAGAATGACTCCTTCACAGATGTCACATATCAGATACCACATATCAGATATTTACATTACGAATGATAATGGTAGCAAAATTACATTTATTAAGTAGCAACAAAAATAGTTGTCACCACAACATGAAGAACTGTATTAAAAAGCTGCAACATCAGAAAGGTTGAGAACTACTGATCTAACAGGAAGCTCAAGGATGCCACTGTTAAGTCCTGTCCTGCCATAAAGGCCCCATTTCTCTTCTTGAGAAAAGCAAAATTCTGCCAGATGGGTAAGTTGACCCCAGGTAATAACTATTTTAAAAGAACAACACTGGTGTACTTAAAACATAATTCTGGCATTATCTGTGCTGTGTAAATCTAGTGGCCAGACATGGAGTCTCCTGTCTCGGTTTAAGCTGTTTAAAGTGTAACCTGGGGTCGAGACCTAGGAGATGTAAGGATGACAGTATATGTAAATGCATAAGTCTAACTGTATGTAAGTTAGCAAAATCTTCTATTCAAGGCCAACTTCTTTGGGCATTAGCCACAGCCAGACGGCTTTTTCAGTAAAGAGGTTTCCTTTATTCATCTCTAAGAGTGATTTCTCTTAGATGGGAAGGCAGATTATTTCTATAACACTCTGGCTGACACCTAAACCAAATACCCTCAGGATTCTTCTGTCAGTTTTTGAGATCAAGTCCTTCCCTTCGTGTCTACCCTTTAAACTTAGCATTTTAAGAAAATTCTGTCCTTATCATCTGTTTAACTACCCCTTGGTAAACTCACCCCCATTAAGCTTTATCTTTACTGAGGACTTCACAATCTGTAACTCAATGTCGACTCATGGCCTTGATAACTGGAGCCTTTAAATTGTCCGTCCTGTCCTATTCTTGCCTGCCTCGTAACTCAATCGTGAGACTGGCTATTAGCTCTGTCAGAAACCTACCTGCTATTCTTAGTAGAATTCCATATTCAAATAATCAATTACTAACATGATTATTTCCTGAGTATCTTTCAAACTTGCTTCCCTGTCTCTAACCTCATACTAGGGATTGAAACTTGGGCCTTATAAATATTAGTCAAGTATTCTAAAACTGAGTTATACTCCCAGCCCCTTTTTTCTTTATATTGAGATTTTAAAACTTCCCAGCTAGCTTTGAACTTATCGTCTATGGGTCTCAGTCTCCAGGGTAGCTGAGACCTCCAGAAATGTACTAGCAAGCCTGGTAGTACCTCTCTATTTGCTGATTTCTAGCCACTTTCTTTCTTTATGATATTTTGTGACAGAGAAATCTCTCTAAATGCCCCCCCAAAGTTCTTTTAAAAAAAAATCTCATTATATGGTATTATTCTGTTTAAAATATGGCAATTACTCAAGTTAGCATGCCATACTAAGTAATTCTTCAGTAATTCACATAACTGGCATTTCAAGGAGGACAGTTTTCATTGATCACTATTGTGTTCACAGGTCTCTTTAAACATCCCTGATGTCCTAGTGGCTTTCATAATCTACTGGGACATAAAAACAAGCAAACAATCAACAACAGCACACAAAAAAACCACAGGTTGGGTCCTTTGCTGTTTGTTTGTGTTTCATTTTATAATTTGAGACAGGATTTTATTTTGTAGCCCTGTAACTTTCAGTAATCCTCCTTTTTCAGTCTTAAAGTGTCGAACATGCAGAGGTAACACACGCCTTTAATTTCAGCATCCAGGGAGCAGAGGCAGTTGATCTTTGAGTTTAAGGTCAGCCTACTCTACAGAGTTGAGTTTCAGATGGCCAAGACTGCAAGGAAAAATCCTATGTATAGAAGAACAAAACCAAACAAACAAGTGTATGTCAATGACAATGCCCTACTTAAGATTTTTATTTATGTGTGTGTGATTGTGTATATACCATAAATGTGGGTGCCCATGGAGGTCAGAAGAGGATGTCAGATCCCTAGAAGCTAGAGTTACATTACAGGCAGTTGTGAGCTGCCTGATGAGGGCGGGTACTGGGAACCAAACTTGGGTCCTATGGAAGAGGAGCAAGTGCTCTTAACAGCTGAGCCATTCCCTAACCCCTCCCTTTGTTTTTTATAGCAGCCGAAACAACCTCCTTCACAAAATTTCTTGGTCACTTCATACCTATAGTCCAATGAAATAAGACCTCTTTTCCTTTCTTTTCTTTTCTTTTCCCTTTCCTCCCCCCCCCCCCTCGTTTGGTTTTTCAAGACAGAGTTTCTCTCTATAAAAGTCCTGGCTGGCCTGGAACTAGACCAGGTTGGCCTTGAACTCAGAGATCCGCCTGTCTCTACCTCATACTGGGATTAAAGGTGTGAACCCCCCTGCACAGTCCCATAAAAAATTATTTTTTGATAGTAATATAATTATATCATTTCCTCCTTCCCTTTCCTCCATTCAATCTTTCCTTTATAGCCTTCCTTGTTTTCTTTCAAATTCATAGCAAAGGAGACCATTTTTGGTTGTGGTAGATCTCCTTCAGAGGCTAAGTACAAAACTGAAAATTAAGTGAGTAGTAGACATAGCAAATTTGAATGAGAGCAATAGTCAACAATCATGCTGGAGCACAACTGAACAAAGTCCAAGAGACACTAAAGACACTACTCACATCACCTCACTACATACACCTTCCTACTGACACTGTCTAATCTTTATTCCATGGTTATGTGACTACCACATAATAACTGGAGGAAAGGTTCTCAGCCTCGGTACATTTTCCCCATGAAAGTGCGCTGAAGTGCACTGTGTATATATAGCCTTTTTGTGGGTCTTTAAAGGTCCCTGCCAGAAATTTAAAAGTAATCAATCACCTTCTACGTTAGGCAAAATAGATTTCACAATTTAAGTACTGACTCAAATGAACAGTGTAAAAGGCTTTTGATTGGAAGTTTATAAACTAAGCAAGAAAGAACAAGATTTACACTTAATAAGTTATAGAGTTCTTACGTGGATGGAGGATATTATGGAAAGACATGCATGAATAAATCTCTCTCTTAATCCCAATTCAGAGTCTAAATATATTGGTGACCTGTACTTCCAGAAATTCCTAAAGAATAGGAATGATCTGCATATTATTATAACATGCATAATGCAAAGAAATTTATATATCTGCAGTTAGTAGACCAACATCTTAGTCCTAAGAAACTAAAATGTTTTTTATTATATTGCATATAGCTATAATCTTACCTTAAAACTCAAATTCAATAATGAAAACATATATAGCAAGATTATAGTACTAGAAACAATGTAAATCTTATAAGTTTAATTTTTACCTGGGATTGTTTTTTAGTGTATTCACTAAAAATTCATGTAGATCTATGCCAGTTGAATCAGTATATTCTTGACTGGAATCTAAAAAACAACAACACAAAAACCCAGTATAAAGTTGTTTGAACACAAATCCCTTCCCCTTTTGTATATTCTATCTATCTTAAATAAAATGAGATGCCCCAAGAAAAAGAGAAAAAAATGACAAAGTAGGAAACGGAAATTTATGAAGGCAGATGCTTACTATTTTTCAACTTGCATGCATTTGTCATGACATGGGGTAATCTAACTGCATGTACACACACATTCTTAAATTTAATGTCAGACTAAACATATCCTGATTTCCTTCATGATCCTCATGTACTCATCATATTCTCATGTTCAAACATGTTTTCTTAGGTGAAAAAAAATGAGTAATTTTGATAATTATTTCTATTGTAGCAAATTTAAAGAGTTCAATTCATCTGAATGTATATGAGCAGAAATAGTACTTTGGAAAAATTATAGTTCTAACATTATTTATTCAAGAATCTTGAAATTCAGTGCCAAAGGTTTGCTTTAAAAATATTTTACAAATACTCATGTGTATTTATCCCCATAAATGGAATGTCCTGGTAATAATGGTCAACATGACAGAATTTATAAGCTTAACATTTTTACTAAACTCTTGTATTCAATAATGAGAATCCTCAAAACTTTTTATGAAGACAAACATTCTGGGGCTTTCAACAATATTCTTAATATAATACCGATTTCTTGTAATGAACAATATAACACAAACTATGATTCTGGCATTTGAATATGAGTGAGACTTGAACTGACTTTGATGACTATATTCTTTAGTAACTGAGATTTATGTTACAATTTTTGCCTGGAGAATCTTAATATTATACATAACCACGATAAACCAGATGACTAAATATGACATCATCTCTCCAGTCAGCTATGGCATTTTCAATATATTTATGTGACACGTTATTCAAGGGGCAAAGAATTATTAATAATGAAACTAAACTTTTATTTAAAAACTAAAAAAAAATAAATTACTAACCTCTTGATAACATTTTTCTTGGCAACTTATCACTGGCTTTTTCTTTATCTGTTTCATCTTTTGAGGGCTTTTCCTCTTTTTCAAATGATTGTGTTAACTGGATTTGAATTTTTTCCTGTTGGAAGAAAAAATTAGTTACTCCATGAAATTATAAAAACTAATTCAAAATAATTATTGGTATTTCCCGAGTTAACTCAAAACTGTATGAAGGACAAAAAGGAGAAGAAAAAGGTGGCACAGGACTTTAATATCAGCACTCACAGGCAGAGACAGGCAAATCTATGAATACTGTGAATTCGAGGCCTGCTTGGTCAACACTGTGAAACCCCACCTCAAAACAAACAAAAAAAAGACACTTAAAAAATGTCTTGAGAAGAAAGGTTAAAACAGTTTGTTCAGTCAGGTATGGTGGTACACAATACCAAAACTACACCTAATATGTTCATCTGAATGTATCAATTAAAGCAGACCTTTATAATTGTTTTGGAGAAAATAAATGTTTACCATTACAGTTTTAGTACATTTATTTACAAACACACTAGAGGTCGGAAATCAGATCTTCTTGACCTATTATTGTTCCAGTGGAGATGCTCACAATTATCAACCATGACAACAGAAATATGTTGGTATCAGGAAAATAATTAACAAAATTCAGCTTCTTTTTGAGATTGTATCTAATGTATGCTAGGCTCACTTTGGGTTTGCTATATAGACGAGAATGACCCTGAATGTCTCATTTTTTGCCTCCACCTCCCAAGTGCTGGGATTACAAGTGTGCAAACTACATCTAATTCATATGGTGCTAGGGATGGAATCCACTCTACAAACTAAGCTACATCCCTAGCCCAGATTTAGTTTTTTGAGTATCCCATATAAGCACACTCCATTCTTTTTCTTGAAAGAGAAAAACGTAAGCAGAAAAGTTTTCAAAATTGTGGTACCTGTTTTCTCACTTGAGGTTTATATATCACTGTGCCTCCTTTAATTATCACACAACTGTTTTAGAAAGATATCAAATAACATTGTTTCTTCCTGATATGTAAGAACTATAAAGTAGTAATACCATCTCAAATCAAAATGGAGAATACTTATGTTGAAAATGTCATTAAAGCAATTTTAGAGCCAGCAGAGATTACTAGGAAATTAACTTACATACCCTGAAAGGCAAAGATTACGTTGAGCTATGTTTATTCAGACAAAATTACAAGAAATATACAATAAACTCCAGGCCATATCAACAAAAGATAAAAGTGTGGCCCATTCTTAGACTAAATTATACTGTTGTACATTACTTAACCTTTCTGGGCAGCAGTGGCAGAAGTGGTCAGCAATACAGAGTATACAAACATCAGGATTCTCAAACTTACTGCCAGCAGAATTTCTTTTAAACTTCTTTCCACCACACATAAAATTATTTTCAAAACAACTGTTAGTAGAATTTGTTATGTGTACATAATTATACATATATTAAGTAAGATAATTTGCTAATGTTTTCTTCTCTTTTGTTTTTTCTTCCATTCCATCTGTATTCCAATTTCAGAGCCTGGGGATCTGCTGAGTGGCACAATCACGCTCAGAACACACAGTAAACACTACCCACTGCAAGTTCCTACCAGGATGATGAGAACTTGCTTACCAAACACAGGATGTTGTATATACTGTGACTTCGTGACTTTGATTTATTTTTTAAGCCTTTTTCTGTTTCTATTCTTACCATAGTTTTCAGATATTTATAAATGGTTATAGAATTATATTGTAAGAGAACATTTAGGAGAGCTCTGCTTTGAAGCTTCTTACTACTCAGGTAGATAGTCCAGTAAAATGTATGTAGGGGGAAAAGACTTCACACTGAATTCTTAAACCCTCACTAAAATGTGCTTCTAGTGACTAGCAGATTTCACTTCTAAATTATTTTCTCTGAATCATAGATATCTGTTTATAGATATTAAATTACTTAATCAAGTTAAACTATATTTTGCAATTCTAGTAGAGAAGGCTGGTGTCTTGTCATCAGCTGACCCCGTTTTCAGTACATGAATAAAGAAAACCCTTTTGGAATGCTGAGTTGCAATGTAAACTCTTCTAACTATAAATAATGGGAACATGTACACAGGAAACTGCAATCACCTTATTCTTTACTATGACATTTATAACATCTGTGATTAAGGTCATTTCTCTATTACAAACTCTCATCACACAAGTGACATCTCTCATGTAATTGTTTCTCAACTTTTTTTTATGAGTTTTATGCCATATTAAATCACCAAAAATTACTACACCATGGGGAAAATTGGTGAAAACTATATCAAGGATGAGAACAGAGAGCAGAACACTTATTTTCTAGTTCCTTTTCAGGCACATTTTAGTCAATTTAAGGCATGAATAAAAGGTTTCTCCTTTTAAAAGTATCTTTTATTCAGAGAGGCAAAAGACATTATTATCCAAACAAAAATGATTATGTTTAGAGAAACTGAGAAACAACATAGTAAGTGGAATAACTGAATTCTGAATAACATCTTATACAGATTTATATATAAATCTTGTACAGAATTATACAGAATATACAGACGGTGTAACTCTTTTGAAAATACACCATCTATGACCAATATATATACTAATAGCTGACACATATCCTAGTAAATATTTTTCAAAAGAATTTTCACTATGTAGGTTTCTGTAGTATAAGACAATTCCCACTGCCCCCAACATTTTTCAAATAACGTAAAATAAATGGAAAATTAAAAACCAAGATTACAATGGTTTTTCTCAGAAGGTATACATTTCTAACTTATAAAAGAAATTTCTGGGGGCTGGAGAGATGGCTCAGAGGTTAAGAGCACTGACTGCTCTTCCGGATGTCCTGAGTTTAATTCCCAGCAGCCATATGGTGGCTCACAACCATCTGTAATGAGACTGGTTCCCTCTTCTGGCCTGCAGGCACACATGGAGGCTGAACACTGTGTACATAATAAATAAATAAATCTTAAAAAAAATCCCACCCTGGGCAGTGGTGGCACACAACTTTAATCCCAGCACTCGGGAGGCAGAGACAGGCGGATCTCTGTGAGTTCGAGGCCAGCCTGGTCTACCGACAGAAACCAAAAAGCTACAGAGAAACCCTGTCTCGAAAAATCAAAAAAAAAATTTTTTTTTAAACTTATTTCTAAGTGTGTGAGTGTTTTAGATGTGCATCTCTGTACCACATACATGCCTGGTGCCATGGAAACCAGAAGAGGTATCAGATCCCTTGGAACTGGAGTTACAGATGTGCTGCATGTAGGCACTGGGAATCAAATATGGGTCCCCTCCCTGGAAAATCAGCCAGTGCTCTTAACTGCTGAGCTATTTTTCCGGTCCATAAGAGAACTTTTAAAAACTGCTATTTCAAAGAACAATTTTATTGTTTTTTTCCTTACAGACTATGCCATAACTCACTAGCTTTACTAACAGCCATGTAATGCTTCATATGAAACAACTACATTATGTAAAACAAAGGCCCAGAGGATTAAGCTTAAAAGTATTTTAAAGGCAATTACACTCAGTGAAGCAGTTTGACGTTATTTCTGACTTTGCTAGAAAAATATTGCTAAATACATTTAATCAAATGCATATTTTATATACCTCCAATGCAAAAAAAAATCAAATGAATTCTGAATATCTGAATTACCAAAAACTTTTTAAAGTTTATTATTACCTACAAATTATTTAAAAATTCCCTTTCTTGCATCTTAGAAATAAAATATAATTTGTAAACGTGCAGGGCGGTGGTGGCGCACGCCTTTAATCCCAGCAATCGGGAAGCAGAGGCAGGCGGATCTCTATGAGTTTGAGGCCAGCCTGGTCTACAAGAGCTAGTTCCAGGATAGGAACCAAAATGCTACGGAGAATCCCTGACTCGAAAATCCAAAATAATAATAATAATAACCATAATAATAATAATAATAATTTGTAAACGTAAGACACAGTATAAGCATGTCAAAACTAGCTTATTAGGCATCTACATTATTTCTTCAGGACCATTGCTTAAGCCATGGGAAAGCAGAAAAGGTTTGCTTGAATCAACAACTGTTCTACTGACATTTGCTTCAAAAGCTTTTTTTTTTAAAAGGCAAAAGTGTTTTTTTGTTTTGTTTTGTGTTTTAAATTGGAGACAGGACTCACTGTTTATCCCTGGGTGGCCTGGAACTTGCTATATAGACCAGGGCAGCCTACTCAAAAAGATCCACCTGCTTCTGCCTCCAGGGTGCTTGAATTAAAGGTGTATCCCACTCCTCCTGCACGGCATTTCATATTTTAAAAAAGATTACAGTATGTCATGACCTTCTCTTACTAAAAAAATTCACCTGGTTTCTTAAATAAGTACCAGTTGTCTTGCTTCTTTAGAAACTTAATTTTAAGTTGCTTAAAACCTTCTTATGAAATAGAAGCCATTCTCTAGTAGCCCTAGTTATAACATTGATAATCATCGGCGAAGCTGAAAGATTCAAAGCCCATCTGCAGTTACGATTAATATTTAAAAAAAAATCAAAGCATTAAAAAGAGTATAGGTTTCAAACTCAGGAGTTTGCTTAAATCTCACTACCTTATGTTTTGTAAGAACAAACAGAAAAGTATTAGACAACTACTAAAGACCCATACAAAGTGGATACTGGCTTTACTGTGTACTCAAGCTAACCAAATTAGTAAGCAGAAGTCAGGGTAGTTCCCAAAGAAGCAACAATAACACAACAAATTCCCCACCCAAGCCCAAAATTGAAAGGGGAATTCTATCATAATTATAACCACTGAAAGTACTTTACTACTGAATACTTTTGAATAATAACTTATAACTTTCTCCTTCTTTATTTCAAGATAGAATCTTTCTGTGTAGTCCTGGCTGTCCTGGAACTTGCTCTTGTAGACCAGGCTGGCCTCGTTCTCACACAGATCTGCCTGCCTCTGCCTCCCAAGTGCTAGGATTAAAGGCGTGAGCCACCACCACCCTCTAGCTTTCTTAAAAGTCACATTCCTAGATAATCATATAATCTCAAAGGGTTTCCCAAAAGAAGAATGTCTACTGTAAGCCTCACACTGAACTAAAAAATTTTCCTAACTCATCTGGATTCTCATTAACAA